TTAATGAAAATAGGGAACGATTACGACCTATTGTAAAAACGATAATTTGTTGTGGTCATCAAAATATATCTTTACGTGGCTCGCGACGATGGCAATTTGTTGGATGTGGAAACAGGTAATAACAGCATGGTAACTGAAATTTTAGAGCACTCTTGAAATTCCGTATAGAATCTGGTGACAAAGCATTGCAACATCATTTAGAGACTTGCAACATACATTAGCAAAACTGTGCAAAATGAGTTGATTGATGTTTGCAAAGAAATTATTCAGGAAAATATTTTACAGAATGAGAAGGCTGCTAAGTACTTTTCAATTTTATTCGATGAGACAACAGACCTATCACATATCTCGCAGCTGAGCCTTTCATTTAGATATCTTCATAATGGTACTATAAAGGAAGATTTTGTGACTTTCTGTGATGTTCACGATATGCTTAAATGCGATGATAATGATACAGGTGATGTGGAGCCTCGGTTGACAGGAGTAGCACTAGCGAAAATAGTTGAAACTCTCTGTATAAAATTTAATTTGGATATAACATGGTGTGTCGGTATTGGGACAGACAGCTGCTCGGTTATGGCTTCAGAGACAAAGGGGGCTGTAAAAGAGTTATCAAAAAAAGCTGTACATGCCAAACGTTGCCCATGCAGCAATCATGTTCTTAATAACTCATTAGCTAGGTCATCCAAAGTAACTTCTTGTCGTAATACTTCAAGCACAATGAGAAAAGTTGTGGCATTTGCTAATGCTTCCGCTAAGAGGCATCAAATTTTTGAAAGAGAGCTTGGAGCTACAATGCAGGGTATCTGTGAGACGCGTTGGGTTGAGCGGCATGATGGTCATCTACAATTTCAAGGTGACAACTTAGTAAAAATTTGTAGCGCTCTAGAAAATATTTCTACTTGGCAAGACAACAATACTGCTAATGACGTTCATTGCTTGTTCAAAACATTGCGCAGTTCGGACTTTATAATACCTATCATCTATTTGCTCAAGTGATGTTTTAGGTAGGTACACAGCGATCAAAGCACGCTAAAATTTTAGTTTAATATAACTATTTTTTTTTTTTTAGGTACAACTGTATTCTTGAGCAGAGTATTACAAACCAGCTCGATTGATTTAAAGAGGGCTATAGAGGCTATAAACGACACAACGAGTGTTCTGAAACAAAAAAGGGAACAAGTAAACACAGTGTTTCAACAACTTTTTGATGAAGCAAAAGAATTAGCCGAACAACTTGACGTTGAAATAAAATACCCCAGATTAGTGTCAAGACAAGTACATAGAGCTAAATAATCAACCAGCTCAATCAGCCGATGAGTATTTTCACAGGAGCGTCTATATACCTCTTCTGGACTCCATAATAAATTATCTACAAGAGCGGTTATCTCCAGAGGTACTTGATTTATTCCAACTTGGCGTGTTCATTCCAAAAGCTAATCATACTTGTAGTAATGAGGAAATGGAAACGGTTAAACATCTCGCCGTAATCTATAAACCACTAATAGATAACACGCCAGTGTCGGTCATAATCAGCGAATATCGGCTGTGGACAGAAAAATGGAAACGGGTTCAGGCTATACCGCAGACGATTTCTGATCTGATAATACATTGCGATGGTGATATGTATCCTAACATAAAAAAGCTTCTGTGTATTCTTGCTACACTACCAGTCAGTATAGCGACGGCAGAAAGGTCCTTCTCCACACTTAGGAGGCTGAAAACTTGGTTGAGAGCATCAATGGCGGAAGACCATCTAACAGGATTGGCGCTTTTCCACATTCATAAAAATGTTCCTGTTGATGTGGAAGAAGTAATTAGTCGTTTCGCGAGAAGGCAGAAGAGAAAAATTGATTTCGTTATTTAATTTGAAGTTAGTATTAAAATGTTGGTTTTACAAGTTGTTACAAGTTATATATCAACTAAATTGATATTAATAGATTTTTTGAGTAAATATTTTTGGCTTTTTTGCGTTTTTTTTATCTTTGGGCGAGGGCAAATGCCCTCTCCCCCTTGATACGCCTCTGATGATCCGCCCTTGAAGGTGTGTGCCCAGAAACGAAATCTGATTCGGTTTGGAAAATGCCTCCACAAAGATCTAAAGTTTCTTGTTTCAAATTTATCGTTTTAACTAAAATCTTCTGTAAAAGCAATTTTTAAAGAAAGTTATTCAAAACTATCCAGGACCATAACAGAAAAATCAAAAAAACGTTCTTCTTCTTTTCAATTTTTGTATACCTCAGCTGCCAGTGCTATTCGGCCTAATAAAAAAAAAGTTATTTTTTGAAGGATGTCTGCTCTCTTTTATTTTAGATTTTATATAGTGGTTTCGTACATTTAAAGACAACTGCCATACACGTCTATTTACATCATAGCGCTAGCCCAGCGCTGTCCGTTTGTCACTTGCACATACTTTGATTTTCTTTTACTATACGGAGAATGGTCGCACTGCGGAGCTTTCTGAGTGCCTTTTAAAAGGAGATAGAGAACTCCGCCATTTTGATCCCTTATTACGTGTTGCCTACATCGTGGCGCAATACTTCTAATAGGTGCGTTTTAATCATCCGCTTCTGCTTCGGAATTGTCGGTTTTCTTGTTTTAATCTGACAGGTTAAACCGACAATTCCGGAAGCAGAAGCGGATGATTAAAACGCACCTGATATTTTGCTTGCTGCTGTCAGTGTCAGTGAATATCACATACTTTGATTTTCTTTTACTATACGGAGAATGGTCGCACTGCGCAGCTTTCTGAATGCTTTTTAAAAGAAGTTAGAAAACTCCGCCATTTTGATCCATTATTACGTGTTGCCTACATCTTGGCGCAATATTTTTAATAGGTACGTTTTAATCATCTGCTTCTGCTTCGGAATTGTCGGTTTTCTTGTTTTAATCTGACAGGTTAAAACGACTAAACCGACAATTCCGGAAGCAGAAGCGGATGATTAAAACGCACCTGATATTTTGCTTGCTGCTGTCAGTGTCAGTAAATATTATTTTTGGAGTCACAGTTTATTGCTAAAGAATCAGTTAGCTCACTTGGACCAGTTGAAAGTTCCAAAATAAAATCTTCTCTAGGGATACAAATTCAGGATACGCAGAAGACTGCTGTTTTATTATAGGCGGTTGTCATATATTGTATTATCCGAGTTGCGCAGTATATAAACTGGAACATTGAGATCAAAAGTGCCGACGCAGAGTGAGCGATCTGATTCTTTAGCTATAAACTGTGGCATAGGAATCAAAATGTCCGCGCCATGTTGGGCGTGTCGGACCTCTCTCTTGCACTGTATAGTAATCAAAGTATGTGATCACTTGTAACTTCTTAGGACTATGCATTGAGACAATGGCTAAAATTATGGATTGTAGAGGATTCTGTTAACACAATGCCATTTGTAATCTGGATGCCATATCAACAGAAATTAAATTACTGCTAATACGGCACCCATCAACTCCTATTAATTTATCCTCACAGATCGGAATTGAATATTGAGTCTTTAGATCTGTCCCACTTTAATCATTGTGACACGGCCTATGGCCCCTCTGCGCAAAGTTGATGTAAATAGGGTACAAAAAGTACAAAACAGTTGCCTTAGATTAATATTTTTTGGTATTAGACGTAGAATCAGAATATCCCAAATAAGCTCAAACAAGTAAAATGGTTAAGTGTGTTCAATAGACGGACACTTCATGCCTTATGTTTTTTTTTTATTATAAAATAGTGAAAACAAAAACTCCACCTTAATTATCTTCTTAACAAAATTAAATTTAGAACTGATGTACATAATTTGAATATAAGAAGGCACCATTATATTATATTACACCTACCCTCAATATACCTAACAACTTTAATTTATCCTATAAAGGATTTAAAAACAAACACAGGAAACAGATTTTTAATAATCAATAATATACACATTATTATTTTGTGATTGCTATTAAACAGCTCTTCTATGGGGTATTATTACTAATTTAAGATTTATTACACAGATCTGTATTTCTGAATTTCTTTTTATTATTCTACACTGAGTATTTATTTGTATCTTAATGTTCTTATATTTTTTCTTTGCATTTTGTTAGTGTACCATATATGTGAGAATGTTAAACTTTGTTTTATGCATAAATAGACATTTATTTTTTTTAGTAAAGCTTAGAATAATTATGAAGGGTAGTGTGGAAGAATCGGTCTTAATGATCTGACACCATACCTAATATTTTCCAATTGTTGTTGTAGTAATGTAAACTTTCTTATTGTACTACGTATTTTTTTACTGACAAATAAAAATTATTATCTTTATTATTATTATAACGAACCATGCAAAAATTCACAAGGTTGGTCTAAGATCTAAAGCCGTTTGTGAAATATACCGTAATCTCTGTTTTTTTTTTGCGCGAAATGCGAATACCGACCTAAAGCCATTTGAAGAACTACAAAAGAGGCCGCCGAAAGATAGTAACTGATTGAATAAACTGTAATTTGTGATATAGGTATGGAATTTTCAACACGTAAACAATATACCTTTCCAATTTTACATAACATTAGATATTAAAAAAAAACAACTAATTTACCTAACCTGTGCCTTAGCGATCGGAAAAATTTAAATAGCTCCAGGCCGCACAGGTTAGGTAGATTAGTTATGTTTCTAATTTTTCGAATTTTATGTATAATTTTTTGCAAGGCAATCTGCAACGGCTCTATGCCGCACAGGTTAGGTAAATAGTCAAAACAGCTATATTTAAATCTGACCCTAGTTCGCTGGAGTGCTATTTTGAAACGCGTTGTTTTAATAAATGTCGTTTCAGTTTGGTGCTGTTTTGATTGACGCTATTTTGCTTGGGGCCTGTTTTGACTGACACTATTTTAATAAGCGCTATGATGTTCAAGCGCTATGATGTTCAGACGATCTTTTAATACGCACTATTTCGTGACTCGTATATTACACTGTAAAATGATAGGTGTCTGTATAAAAATAAGGTGCAAGGCATGTTACACGTTTGTGTTTGTCATTAGCAGAAGAAACGTAAACAAGGTTATGTTGTTTTTTTTATAAAATAAAAACAAAAGGTATTGCGTATTAACATCGCAAGAAAAATGTAGTTGATTGCATGAAAAATATATAACTATAATTAAAAAACTCTTATAGAATGCAAAGCCCAGAAGTTCATAATTTTCCAGCACCAGAAAGTTCTTTCAACATTGAAAAGTTCCAAGGATCTGTACCAATCAATTTAAATATCAACAACTTTCATTATAATCATTTAGTAAGTACTTATCAATTTTTTCTTAACGTATAACCACTTTATTTGATTTCTAGTTGACAGTTATAGTTCCTGGTTCTCAAAAGGTTCCTGGAATTTTGTTTGACCATTTTTTAGAAAAAGGCATATATTATAAAGTATCTGAACTGTATCTAGAAGATCTTGTCGATCTAAAGTTTATTTCAAGTTTTATAAGAAATGGTAAGTTCTCATTGTTGCTAATAATATTTATTTACTTATCAATGTATTTTATTTTTAGGAAAACTAACCTTGTTGAGTATAAACAAAAGAATTGACTGCGATAATTGCATTGGAGTTACGCCAGATGGTAAGCTTTATTTAAGCTTAAGTAAAGAATCATACCAATCTTTTGGAATACAAGGTGTATTATCCCACTTTACAAAGAAATTGGCAAATCGATATTGTAAGTACTCTATGTTGCTGTTTCATTTATATTTAATCATTGAAAAAGAGTAGGCAACCCACTGTCTACATTGTTAACTAATGACATTTGAGAATACTCTTTTTCACTTTTTTAATATAGAAGTAGATTGAATTTCAAATAAGATTAATATAAGTTATTAACTATTGCACATTATTTCCAGAAAATGCCAAGACATCGAGATGTACCTTCTCTACAGTCCCTTTGCCTCAAGAGCATAGGTTGTCTCGTTGTACATATGGCACCTTGTATATTATCTAAAATAAAAATACATAAAGAACCTCAGAAAGTAATTTCTAGTCTACAGAAGAATCTCATTTGGCTAAATAAACTACTTTCTTCTCATGTTCCTTTTTATCTATATGACAAAATGGCTGTGGAAGTTCTAAAAGCTGTGAAAGTGCTGATAGAAGAAACAAAGAAAACTTATTTTCCTCACACTTGTATGTCAGCATTTCTTACTCAAATGAATGTAGCTGTAAGTTTGACAGAAGTGGTGTTAAATTCTTATCTTAGAAGCATTGATTTTTCCCAGTGGCCTAAAATAATGAGATATATTTTATACAAAAATTTGCATAATTTAACTGGACTGGAACATTTAAATTTAGGATCCTGTTCTGGTGGATGGAGGACATCAGAATTTGACAAGTGTTTACTAGATAGCATATCAAGAATGAAAAATCTTAAGTCTCTTTGTTTGTGTTTTGATAGTACTGATATAGTTGTTCAAACTGTTGGTGATAACTGTCCTAATATGCAGTGTTTGGATTTAACTTCATCTGGATCAGTTACAGACAGATGTATTCCATTTTTACTAAAATGCAAAAATTTAAGAGAATTACAATTACACCGTACTTCTGTGACAACTGAAGGTTTAGCTCAAATTGTTGCTGGTCTTCCTAAATTACAAGATATTGGCCGTTGTGATGATTTTGGAAATGTAATAAAATATTTACATCATAAATTTCCTCATGAAGGCCCATTTGCACTTAAAAAAATTCAAACACGTGATATTTCAACTGAAAACTTGAGATTATTAGTAGAAATGTTTCCAAAAATAGAATATGTTAGTATATTTCATGATGTACAGATTTCTGATCTTACAGTTCTAATTTCTTTGGACAACTTGAAAGATTTAAAACTTCTCTCTTGTGCTTTTTATGGTGATTATTTAAAACAACTGCTAGAAATTAGAGGTACCAATTTATCAAGCCTACATTTAGAACATGTTGAAGAAATGGACTTTAAAGTTTTAGTGGATATAAGTCAATGTTGTCCCAAACTTAAGAATTTAGTATGTTATAATTGTGACTTTAGTAACAATTCTGTCCCAGCTCAGAAACTCAAAATCCAGCCATTTTTAAGTTTAGAAAGAATATTTTGGGTAGTGGACAGTGCCATTAGTCATTTAGAGTTTATACTTAATCATGCTTATAACATTCATTACATACATCTTGGGTCATCAACTGGTATTACACATTCTACAGTTGTAAATATTCTCTCTGTAAATCCCATGAGAAAGCTAGAAGAATTGCGAGTTTTGTACAGTAGTGATATGAACATGAGGACAGTAGATTTACTTTTGGCAAGCTGTACTAGTTTAAAAGTTTTATCTGAATTGGAGAGCTGGCAAGGGGTTTCTATAGAAGAACTTGAAACTTTTAAAAAATACATAAAGTCCAATAATTTTGATTTGGATATAAGGCCTACTTTATCTTTTACGACTTAAAATTATAGTAAATATTTTTGTACCAAATGATGAAAGTTGTTTAGTCATTATTAATCTTATTTGAAATTCAATTGGTATTTAGTATATAATATATAGCATTTATAATTTGCATATTGCATTATAAACTGTAGGTAGAGCTACAGCTATTTAATAATTATTGCATAATCATGTTTCAGTCATATGCAACTGTTCTTTTCTGTTATTTGAAAATATCAATATGGATTAGAAATTTGTCCTTTTTCTCTTCTGGGTTTATGAAATTTTATATAAATAAATAATATTTTTCTTTAGTTTGCCTAATAAAAAAATCAAAAACAAAACTTTTATTTAATATTTGTATAAAAATTTATTAATTCGAAAACTGGAGACATGTCAAACAGATATTTTCATATAAAGAAAGTTTTATTGATTACTTAAATTTGACAGTTATGGTTTATTTAAAAAAAGAAGTAAAATAGTAAAATTATATTATTTTTTCATTAATTTGGTAAAGGTAAGGTAAATCATCTGATTTATTTATGCAATTTTTAAAATAAATGTACGATTTTAATCAAAAAAAAATTACTTGAGGCCAATATAATTTATTTAATTATTTCTTGAAAAGAAAAGTTTTGATAAAATACAGTGATCTACAAATATTTTATGTCAATTTATATAGCTAAATATATTTTCATAAAGTGGCGTTGCTTTTTGACTTTTAACTTTATTACTCCTTTTCAACTTACCCACCAGAATACTTCACTGTTGTCTTGTATCTTTAAAATGTAGTTATTTATGATAATTATATAATAAATTTGTCTCAACAGATTTTTAATTTTAAGTCAAAAATTTGTTTTTCTTTAAACCTCAGTGAAGCATTTAACTACCAATTTGATGACGTTAAAGTATAACGATGACGTTAAAATTTAACGACAACAGGGAGTTGATATTGACAGCGAACTGAAAATTTCTTTTGTCTCCACCTTCGAATTACCTGGTGACAATGAGAGTAGGGCCATGTTATTAAGCGATTTGTATAAAATTTTGAACAAAAATACTATACATAATTTTGAATTGACATTTATCCGCGATTCAAGCTAAGCAATACGCCCTCTGTAAAAGTGTCTGTAAGCAGGCATTTTCCCACTGTTGCCAAAAGAAGCAGAATTCCGTTACTTTTACACCTTTTAGCAGTTGACAGACCTTTTTTTTAAGTGGCGAAATTTGTGTCTACCAATATAATCATACTCTATATTTATTTAGGGATTTTTATAAAACCGATTTGATTATATTAATTTTTTATTTAATTTTCATTTCATTTATCATTTTTTTAACATTGGCGTTTATAGTATCAATTATCGAATTTTTCCTTTTTTGTGAGCATTAAATTTGTTTATTTCTTATAGTGTGATAGTGTTTATATTGAAAGCGGAAGTTGTCTGGGCATTTCACAGGCTGCCACTTCTAGCCGCCTGTACTGGCCTGCAGGTTGCTTTACGGTAAAAATGAAAATACAGAGTGATTCGTAGATTTAATATATTCCGGATCAAATATTCTGTGTTTGAGAAGTATGCATTCTTAAAAAGTATTAAAACATAGCTTCATTAGAATGATAATACATTTAAAAAATTAAATTTATTGGCATTACCAGTTAAACCGGAAGTCAGTTATTTTGTTTTATTGGATATATAAAATAATTGTTAATTCGAAATTATGTCTAGTAGGTTTGTCCCAAATTTCATGCAAAGCGCTTCATACATAAAAAGATATCAACGTGGACCTGATGGTCTTATTGTCACCAGGTATTCCAACATATATATTCACTCCGCATAAGAGATTGATTGCTTCATCTATTTCTGTCGATCTGTAACGAGCTCTAATTTGATGCTTAAATTCGAGATTTTTAATATTTATTTTTCACATCTAACTAACGTTCAAAAAGTTTTATTTAGAATTAGAAGGGACTTATTGTGACTCGTTAAAACAATATCATTGTTACTCTTAATAAAACAATATACAGATCGACAGGAATAGCAAAAGGCACTAGATGGGCTAATGTCAGATAGGACGTAGAGTCATGCTGCGTTGTCAAATTGATTACAGTCCGATTAGGATGGAATTAATATTATTCATATTTTGCCTATGAAATCAAAAATTTTTTTTTCACTTTGGAAAACCGGTGACTAAAGAAATTTTAGAAAATATTTACAAAAATGTGCCATCAGGACTTCACTTGTAACATCCTGTATCTCGAAAACGAAACGTTTTCGGATCTATGTTTATATGAACTTTTATTCCTATTTTAGAATGTAGATTACACTGTTAAAATATGACCGTCTAATTTCGGGACACCCTGTATAATTATATCAAAGTGTTTCATCAAGACAAACGTAAAAATTTGAAATTTATTATTTCATAAGCAAAATAAAAGTGAACTGCCGATAAGTGAGTGATTTTTTGTTAGCTTAAAAGAATACCTGTTTAATTGAAAATATTTAGCAGTGGTGTAGATTACAGAATTAAAATAATGGGTCCTAAAATAAAGCAAATAATTTGCAAATCATGCCAAAATAACATAACAAAAAAACATTACGGCATGTTATGTGCGGGAAAATGTAAACAATGGTTTCATAAGATATGTACAAATTTATCTGAAGGTGATTATAAACATTTTCCTGAGGGTAAAGGTAAAGGAAAGTGGTTATGTGAGGATTGTTTCGGTAAGGACGACATCGACAGTAGCGATTATGACTCTGTTGAAGAAGATAAAGACAAACTATTACAAGGAAAGAAATTAAGACGAAGTGGCAGTCTAAAATATATTTTAATGGAGGAAAATCCTACTAATAAGGACTTACTTGTTTTGATGAATAAAAAATTTGAAGGTATTGAGCAATCTCTGAACTTTAGTGGGGATATGATTGAAAAACTAAGGGACAATTTTAATGAAATAAAAAATGAAACTAAAAAGTTAAAACAAGACAACATTGAACTGAGAAAAGAAATGGATGATCTGAGAAAAGAATTAGCCGCTATCAAAATTGATAAAGCCAAGGAAAATTTACAAGTAAGAAATAAAAACATTGTTATGTTAAACACTAGTGCTGGAAAAAACGTAAACGACGAAGTAGTAAATATAATAACCAAACTTGAAATTACTATTAGTAGAGAAAACTTTACCACAAAGATATTGCCTACTAAAAATTCCACGAAACCCGTTCTCGTTGCTTTTAAAACAGAAGAAATGCAAAAGGCGGTGTTGGAAAAACGCAAAGAATTGGAAACTTCAACTGACTACAATATACCTGGTCCACGGTGACAAATATATATCAATGAAGATGTTCCAAAAGAGCTTCGTGTTTTATTAGGAAAATCTAAGGTTCTAAAAACCAAAGGTTATAAATATGTGTGGCTAAAATATGGGAAAGTATTCTGCAGAAAAACTGATTATGGACCTCATAAGAATAACAAGTGAAAATAAGATAAGTGAACTGACAGCTATGTAAGGACATATGAAACAACAATAAATAAGGTAATAACTAAGTTTTTTTTTAATGGCTTCTACAGTTGATGTAGGTACTATGGTTAATAAATATAGCAGTATTAAAGAATTTAATAACAAATTTCAGAAATTGGGTAATTTAACTATATTATATTTAAATGCTCAGTCCATAAAAAACAAAATCGATGAACTAGAAGTTACACTTAAAACCATTAATACAAATATAGATATTATTGTAGCGACAGAAACCTGGGTAAAAAAATATGAAGAGAAGTTTTTCAATATACCCTCTTATACCAGTGTATATTCTTCTAGAATAAAAAGAGGGGGTGACTGTGGTATATACATTAAAAATGGCCTAAACCATAATGTTGAAAAAATAATAGAAAAAGGCAATGTCACCTATGCTAGAGTATATATAGAATCAGCTAAAATACATCTTGCTGCCCTATATAACCCAAGTAGTTCAAATGAAGATATTGAGGTTACACTTGATTTACTGGAAGATGATCTCAATGCTTTGGGCAACACCAAAGCAATAGTAATAGGAGATCTAAACATTGATTTATTGGTAAACAGTCAGAATACTGAATTATATAAAAGTGTATGTTCTCACAATGGTTTTGACTTTTGCAATAAAAGTATTCCTACACGAAATTCAAAAACTCTAATAGATCATGTGCTAACAAATACTCCGGGAGTTGTTGAATCTTTGGGAATTATAACCAACTGCCTCGTTGACCATGATTTTCAAATTTTAACCATTGCAAATGAGTCAAACAGTAAAATACTACGTACATTTCACAAACATTATGTAAATTATGGCAAAGTGAAAACGGCGCTTCGTGAGCTTGAACACAATCTACCCCTAGATGTTGATGAAGCATATAATACTTTCATAAACTGTTTTAATAATTTAACTACCTACACGACTAAAACCATAAGAATCAAAGAAAACTCACAACCTTGGTTTGATGACACTATATCGCATGCGATAACTACAAGAGACTACTATTTTAGAAAAATGAAAAAGTGCCCAACTGTTGAATATTTTAAAGTTAAACACCGGGAGTGTATAAAAGAGGTAAAGATAAAAATAAAAAAAGCAAAAAACTCTTACTATGAAAATCAATTCAATCAAGCAAACGGTAATGGTAAAAAAACATGGAAGATAATAAATCAAATATTAACCAATAAATCTAGAGCTAAAGACCAAATCTCCTCAATTAAGGTGAATAATATAGACATAAAAGATAAAAGTCAAATTGTCGAACATTTTAATAACTTCTTTGTCAATGTTGGAACGAACTTGGCAAAAAATATTCCATTTTCTTCTATAGATGCTGCAAATGAAACAACAATACCCGAAACATTTTCATTTGTTCCTACTACTCTATCTGAAGTCAATAACATCATTAGTGAGATGAACTCCAACAAAGCTACAGGTGGTGATGATGTGGATGTGAAAACCGTAAAAGAGTGTAAAAGTGAAATTGCAAGGGTCTTGCACAAAAACATTAACATGTCCCTAAACAGTGGAGTGGTTCCAAGTGCGGTTAAAGTGGCAAGGGTAACACCCCTATTTAAAGGAGGTGACAAAGGTTTGCTTAACAATTATAGACCTATATCTGTTTTATCTATATTATCTAAAATTTTTGAAAAGATTGTGAATTCTCAACTCAGTGATTTCTTAACTAATGTAAACTATCTTTATAAATATCAATATGGCTTCCGTAAGTCAAGTGACACTTCCTCAGCTGCAGTATAGATATGATAACTAACATTCAAGAGAATATAGATAAAAATAAAAAATGTGTCATTGTGTCACTTGACCGATGCAAAGCATTTGATATAGTAAACCATAATATTCTCTTAGAAATTACTTAAATGACCGTAGACAGTGTGTTTCTATGGATGGGATGAAAAGTTCTGAACAACACATCTCATGTGGGGTACCTCAAGGTTCAATTTTGGGCCCAACTTTGTTTCTCATCTATATTAACTCACTGTCTAATGTTAAATTTAAAGGATAGTTAAGGTTATATGCAGATGATAGTACCGTGCTTTATTTTGGTGAATCGTTAGAAGAGATGATTGCGGAGATAAGGGATGATTTGTCTTTGCTATCTCAGTGGATGATTGCTCACAAATTACCATTAAATGTAGTTAAATCTTCATATATTATAATCTCTAAACAAA